AACAACAACATGTGCTCTGGGAACATGTACACTCACTCCTGCCAAATGGATTCTGACTCATAATTAGAACTCTTGATTATGTTTCAGAGTCTCTAACACTTTACCTATCATTCTCCCAAAAAGCGGATGCCGGATTCAAATCACCAGCCTTTCAGTTAGCAGTCCAATACCTTACACACTATGCCACCATGGCTCATTAGTGATAGACAAGAAATGCTGTCCTTCTGTGAGTGACGGGCAATCTCCTCCTATGCTAGTCAAATCCTGTGAGTGACAGGATGTTTACAATAAACTCACTGCTGTGGGTTTTCTGGGGCTGTAAATTTTAACAGGATGAGACACACATAGATTCTAACTGCCAGTGGTGACATGTGGCCTTTGAATTAACAACAAAGCTAGACCATGCCACCCCAGTTCCTTTGCTTATGAAAACAAATCCAAATTCAACCAACCCAAACAAACAATAATACACCCAGGCCCTAAGCTAACTGAAAAAAATTTTCTCAGAAACACTACAAAGAAAAAAAAATACATTATTAATGTAAAATTTAATGTAAATATCTTATGAGGCCTTTCACATTTTATCACCCTGGGTCTTCCCCCCCCCTTTTTTTATATTGATATACATTTAAAGAAGGGAATATTATACAATATCCTGAGTCAAGGCAACAGTAATGTTGTTTATTGGGAGTCTCACTACCCCAATTATATACACCTGTAGGCCATACAAGAAACCATGATGAGAAACCCCATCGCTGGCATAATATTTTGATAAGATTTATATCCATTTGGTCTTCATTAATACCACATGCACTCAAAAGAAGACCAATTTGGTTCTCTTTTCAGTGCCTTTGTTATGAAATGTATTCAATTTCGGCAAAGACATAGAACTTGTTTTTTACTCTAAGTGTTTCTTAATATTTTACCATTTTGTGTCAATTAAAAATAGAACATAAAGAAATGAGAGTTAAAGTAGACATAGACAAAAGGAGAGTCAAGCTCATCAGCAAATTCTTTGGTAATTTCTGAACCTCTAATAAATAACCACATGAACTTCGTCTTTGTAAAACATTTTATATCTTAAACTGATGATTTGTACAATAGTAAAAACAAATCCATATGAGATCACCTAATTATCTTCACGACATCAAAAGAACAAAATTGCCCATTTTCCAAGCCTAATCTCAGCATATTCCTCTTCACCTAAACAGCACTGTGCGGAGTCCACATCCGATTTCTTTTACTTTCTGGAAGAAAGAATTTTTAAAGCAGCCATTGATTGAGTCATCTGATATTCCTTAATTGCAGCAGTTTCCAACCGGTTACAGTAACATGTTGTTGTTGATTGCTGTCGAGTTGAGCATGACTCATAGTGACTCTATGAACAAAAGACCGAATGCCTTTCCATAACTACTGTCATTTCTCCAAGTTCATAGAGTGTCCAGAGGCATGTGGTTTTAGAAGTGGATGCCACTCCTGCTTCCAAACCTATTTTACAACTGGGACCTCCACCACTGTCCAAATTGGGAAACTATTATGGTATCTGATACCCCAATGGCACAAGGTTCAGCATCGCAGCAAAACCAGGTTACTTCACACAGCACTTTAACAAATAGTGATGTACAAAGTGGAAGAATGTTCCTCCAGATATAACACCGCTACTCTCATTTAGCAGTAGATAAGTGTTGTCAAGTTGAATAAGACTCATATTGACCTTTGCACAAAAAGACCTGAACTCTGTTCCACAACTAACATCATTCCAGAGGCATCTAGTTTAGGAAGTGGATGTCACCCCTGCTTCCTAACCTGAATCAATCTTGAAGCTCTTCCAAACATTGTACATGATGGGCAACCATTATGGTTTTTGATATGATTATGGCAACAGTGTTCAGCATCAAAGCAACTCCCCATTATTCAGTACAACAAATAGACAAATTATTGCTGTATCACTTAAGGAATATTCATTCTATAATTAATAAATTCATTCTCAAATTAAAAAATTTACAAATAACATTAGAAAAGAAATTTTTGAATACCCAATTCACAATTTAAACAAAAGATATAAACAAATGTTTAGTGTCTATTTGAAGAAAATTTCACTGTTAAAAATCAAACCCCCAAAAGCTACAGTAATATAGGAAACTTAAAAATTACCTACATTCTAGTCTCATTTAATTGTATTATCTAGGAAGAAACAAGATGCCCTATATTAATACAGAATAGTTTATAAATAAGCTAGTAAGTGTGCTAAATGCAAAGTAGAATTCATAGGAGGTACTCATTATTGTGGGTTGATATTTTTAAAAAACAGGAAGAAGAATTAAGGCCTAAATAAAATAGTTCAAAGAAAAGTCCAAGTAGAGGCAAAAGAAGTGGACATTCCTGCTAAATGGAAAGACTGAATGTGATGCAATTAAGTAACTTTACTATTCATTTGTGAGGCAATTAAGGATGGTATGTTTTAACTGGGTGAGAGCAAATGATGGAAATATTTGAAAAAAAAAAGTAATATTGAAGAGATGGCATTTTTATTATCCATTCTGTTAAGATTAATTAATAGAAGACTTTACGAAGTCTTAGGTCAACATAGTCCCTAATGCTTAACCAGCTGTAAAAGCTAATAATTTCTAACACAAACAGCTCCACCCATGGCTCAGTTCCCCAATTTCCTTCATGGTTTTTAGATTTGGTGATTTGCTACAGGTTCTCCAGAGGCTCACACTCATCAGGGGAATAATTCAAGTGACTGTAGATATGCAGGCCAGTTATTTTATAGAAACTGGTGAGCAATGAATGGGACAATCTGGATGCTTAGTTCACAATATAGGATTTCTCAGGCCAGACAATCTTTGGGCTAAGTTAACATAGTTGTGCTGCAACTACTGGTTGTTTTCACATACCCCATAGTGTGGAGAGCACACTTTTATATCCTACAGCAGTTGACGATTGGTGAGGCCATGTGTTTGCAGTTAAGGTTGCTGGAGATCAGTCTCCCAGTGGGAGTTAGGTTAACCAATTATCAAGGTCTTTAACACCACAAATGGTTAATGGTTAGGTTTAATATTGTGAGTCAGACATTTTATGAGAGAGAAAAGAGGATGAGATTAATCAAATGAGATAATATCTAATCCCATTAGAGTTCATCCTTTTGTAGTCTGCTTTCTGTAGTAGTTGCTGACAAAGATCACTTTTATATCAACAAACAGATCATTTTCTCAACACTCATGCCTCAATGTTTAAACAATCCAATACCGATTTGTGTGTCACAATTGGTATGCATTCAAGCTATGGAGAATATTTCCAGGAGCTTTCATTATATAGCACCTAACAGTACCATAAAACGTTAAGTAGTTATAACAAATATTTTTTTTGGGTTATACAGTCTGGAACAAATTTACTCTTAATTTCATTGTTTAACCAATAAAGAAACAGCATTAATAATTTCTATTCTTTTATCTAGAATGAAGATCCCATGTATTTTTGGTACAATTGTTCTCAGCCACACAGGGGTTAAGATTTGAAACTGAAATGGTTTAATTTTGACCCATCTCCTCTCACTTTGTTGTGGTACATCCTTATTTTGATACAAGAAATCTTTCATTTTCTTTGGTCAGTCATGAAAAAAATAATTTCATTTCACAAGAAGGAATGAATATTGATCTTGTTTATTTTTGTTTTCTGGACAGCAGGATGAAGGTGAATTAAAAAAAAGTATATGTAAACTATATTGGCATCAATAGTGGAGATCAGTAAAGTAAGTAATTAGACTTCATGTTATCCATACATGAAATTTACAGAGCAAATAGTTATCTTTTAAACATTTTAATACATAAAAATGGACAATTTTTGAATTACATAATTATATATACCATTGATACTGGAGATATGTGGTATGTATATATTTTCTTTTCAATAAAATATCTTCATGCTTATAAAAGTCACTCTAAGTCAACTTGGGACAAGTAGAGTAACATACAGTAAAAAGAAACCAAGTAGTAAACAGGATATAGGTAAGAAAAAAATATAAAGCAGTTACAGTGTTGACACAAGAGGAAAAATGTTACACACACTTTTCTATTATTTGAAGGCAATTCACAATCATTTCCAGGAATTCTGTGAGAATTTAAGGCCATTTGTTCTAAAGAAATGCTTTAATTTTGACACATCACAAAAATTTGTAAAAACTGTACATGCAAAAACTCTTTACAGTTAATTGTGGACAGGCAGATCAGTATATAGGATCAGGTTTTCTCACAAATGTGTTGTGCACTAAGTCACAAGGTTGTGTATATTTAACTGAGAATTTCACAAAGGACCTCCAGCTTATGCACCCTGTGAGGCAACGTGGAAAGGTGATCAGAAGGAATACAAATCAAGAGAGGCAGTATCCCTTTGAATTAAAATAGCTAGACAATATATAATGGAATAGAAAGTTTAAAACATCTGCTACATGATTCAAAGGTAAATATTCTTGGTTTTAGTCTTTCTAAATACCATTATAAAGATGCTACTTTTTACACAAAGTGTGCATTAACAGTTCACAATGTTTGACTTCTTATTATTTTCTACTTAGCAATACAAAACACAAACTGACTGAAGTCTAAATTTAGAACCCAACCTCCATGAAAAATGCATGTTCTTACAGGATTCACATCTGCTAAGCGTAAACTCCTGTACTTGGCAAACAGCAGAGAAACTGATTACTAAGCAGATGCAGCTTCGTAAGACACAATCCAGTGACTGAGAAATAGGAAAGTATTTCTTTCTCTTTCCTTCCTTGCAATTGCACTGATCCAAGACAGCCATTCAAAGAGATATTGCTCTTGTGATTATAGCTATTGCAAGTTAGAAGACAAAGGATTCATTATTCAAAACTCTTATTCTTAAGAACAGTTATAAAAGTATTGAAATTTAAAAAGTAGTAACATGTAAACATCGATACAGAAAGACTGCTTCCCTATATGCACAGCAGTCGAGGACATAATTATAGAGTTAAAAAGGTTGGTTGTGCTTTTTTCCAACAATACATTGGAAATTAGCTGTTTCTGTGGAAAAAAACCCCAAACAAACAACAAACCAAACTTACTAAAGATTCAGAGAAGACATCCATATTTTGCTTCAAGCCTTTAAACAAGGTTTCTGTTGCTCATGCAACAACCATATTTACAATTTTGGTTTACGAAGAGATTAATTTTGGATCCAAGAAAGCACATTAACCAGTACTGCTGTTACCAAACTGAGAAAAGGATCTCGTTCCCTGGTTCATGACAGAGCACCAGGCGCAGACATTGCCTCAGCAGTGGTCACTGTCGTGTAGTGAACATTTATTTGGGTAAGCGTTCCGGAGCACAGTCATATTTGCGTCTGTAACACGTGTGTAGGTGGGGTATATGGGGGAGGTGCTGGCGATGGCTTGATTCCATGGGCCCTCATGTAGGAGAGAAATTGCTCGGGGATCTCAGCTAGCACATCTTTAGCCAGTCGAGCCATGCTCAGGATGTGGTTTCCACTTCGGTCAATATAATCTCTGAATGGCACAAACTAAAACAGAGGTGAAAGAGAGTTACTCCACAGATATTAGAATACTATAGGACATGCAAATATTTTTTGGTAAAAGGGCAAACACATGAAGAAATGTTCAAAATGCCTAGGTCTAAGAGAGATGTAAATCAAAACAACTATGAGATATCATCTCACTTCTGTAAGCGTAGCAAAATTTAGCAGAACAGCAAACATCAAATGCTGGTGAGGTTGCAGAGAACCTAGAACCCTTATTCACTGTTGGTGGGAGGGTAAAATGGTGCAGCCCCTGTGGAAGGCTATAAGGTGCTTTCTCAAAAGTGGCAAATAGAGATACCATTTGACCCAGGAATTCCACTACTGGGAATTTACCCTGAAGAAGCCATAACTGCTGCCCAAGCAGATAAATGCACATGCATATTTATTGCAGCTTTGTTCTCAATAGCAAAGAGCTGGAAACAACCCAAGTGCCCATCAACAAACAAATGGATAGAGAAGCTCTGGTATACTCAGACAATGGAATACTACACAACATTGAAAAAGAAGGAACTCATGAAATATTATGCAAAGTGGATGACCCTGGAGGACATTATGCTCAGTGAAATATCTCTGTCACAAAAGGACAAATATTGCATAGGGCCACTGTTGTTGTAAAATGGGACTGACATCAGGGTTGAGGAAAGAAAAGGAAGGGAGGAATAATGTATATTGAATTGAAACAGATGAGGGAGAGAACTGTTTAAAAGGGCTATGTGAATGGGTATTCTTGTCATTTAAGAAGTCCAGAGTGAAGGTTGCATAGTGGAGTGGACTTGGGTGGGGGGGGGAGAGATTTCATAACAATGAAAGAGTTTTTTTTTTCTTTTCAAGGGTAAGAGTGAATTGAGGGGGAGAGGGTGGGTAGGGAGAAAAGTGCAACAATGAATGGAAACCCTAAGTTTCTGTAAATGTTCTTTAAAATTAATTTTTTAAAAAAGGAAAGTAGTGAAAAATAGTAAAAAAAAAAAAGAGAGAGAGAGACTTTTAGATTCCTAGAATGCTGTTGAGATAATAATGCCATATATTTTCTAACTGGTTGATACAGGAAATAAGAGTGAACAAACTTTTCTGATACACCTTATCTAAAAAGAGATATAATTGTTTTTATATTGCTCTTCCCAATGTCTCACACCAACAACTCCTACTTACTGATCCTGACTTCCCCATGATGTCACCTTGGTATTTGTGTTCTAGAAGTTTGGTTTCTGGAAATATTTAACTTCTTGGGAGCTGAATGTTCTTTCAAATAAAACAACTACATGCTAACTCAAGTGGAGAAGAAGCAGCAAAGAGATGAGATTAAAAGAAACAATAGTGTAAACAAGTGATTACTTTCATTTAATTAGATGGTTCTCATTTTTAAAGATTTTAGAGTATTAAAATGAGTATTAATTTGGTAGTTATTACTTACATAGCAAAATTTCTTCAATTAGTAGCTTAGATTTTTCATGGATATCTAGCCATCTAAAATGGACAGATAATTCATTCTGCCTATATAAACAAGCTAGATGGATAATATAAAAGGGTGGTTGAGTGTGCTACTCTTTAAGATATCAGGGTGTCTTCAGACTGAAATCTCAGTGTGAAAAACCTGAGAACAGATGCTTATGTAAGGAAAATGCTGTTCACTCAATAAAGCGAAAAAAACACATAGATAATGCTGGCCATATATTGCCTTTCTGACATTTCCTTAGGAATCTGCAAGAGCCTCCCCTTCCCCTTCCCCCAATAAGACCATTGAAGTGTGTGTTAACTACAGAATACTAAATAAAAAAGTTTGGCCAAAACAAAACAAAACAAAACAAAAAAATTGAGAAACTTTGGACCCAACTGATAACATTTCTGATTGTGTTAACATTAAAGTAATATAAAATATTATGCAATTGTTTACAATGTTTTACTTCTTTAAGATTTCTTGTGGTTATTATGTTCCGACGAGTCACTTGCGACTCCTAGCGACCCTATGTACAATAGCCCTAAACCCTGCTCTATCCCTTGCCAGTCTTATTGTCTCCATCACATCTATCGCCATTTATCCCAGTAACGGAATCAAACCATCTCGTCCAGGGTCTTCCTCTCTTGCACTGTCCTTCCAACCCTCTCAAGCATGATTTCCCTCTCCAAGGACTGATCCCGCCTTGCAACATGTCCAAAGTATGTCAGATGGAGCTTCAGAATCCTTGCCTCCAAGGAGCAGCCTGACTTCACCCTCTTCAGGACAAACTTGTTTGTTCTCCTAGCAGTCCATGGTATAGTCAATACTCTTCTCCAACACCACATCTGAAAGGCATCAACTCTCCTTCTATCATCCCTAGTCATTGTCCAGCTCTCTGATGCATGGCAAGTAATTGCAAAGGCCATGGCCTGTACCAGGCGGACCTTAGTCTCCAGACTGACTTTGTTGCTCCTCAGAACCTTGGAGAGGTCTCCGACAGCAGACTTTCCCAATGCAATGAATCTTTTAATTTCCTGGCTTCTGATACCAAAAGTGCTAATTGTAGAGTCAAGCAAACTGAAGCTATCAATAATCTCAATCTCTGCTCTGGATTACGTGTTAATTTGATATTAATTTGATAGAAATTTTAAAAAAATTCATGACTGCGTTCTAATAATATTAAAAATTAAACTTGAAAAAAATAAGTGTGTTTTGTGAGTATGAAATATATGTATTTCAAATCATTACTATAATGTTAAGTCATATGTACAATGGAATGAAATTGATATAGTTTACACAGGTGTGAACTTGAAATAGTTACTATATCGAAGCCTTGTCCCTGATGTTGATTTCCATGCTCATAATTCGAGAAGGCTAAAAAAAAAAAAGGGGGGGGGCAGAGGGGACTTCAAAACAGATTTTATTATACAGTTCTCCTGTTGAAATATCATTATCTTTTTATATCATATAAAAATGATTGTTCTCACTTTATATAAGCAATTATGTGAGAGCCCTTATCAGCTCATCATCAAATATTCTGGTAAGAGATGAACTGATTCTGTTCTCATTTATAGCTGTTACCTACGTTAATAAACACTGTGCCAATTTCCTCTCAGGGCATCACAATGATTCCTGAAGTGGTTTGAAATTGCTGTAGCTGTCAACATAGTATTTTAGCAATATAGTAATTTTAAATCTTCAGAGAAAAAGCACGATTAAGACATTTTGATACGTTGAACAAGTTTTGTGTATAATATCTTAAGTTTTAATTTAGTCCTTTTTTTGCCCTTCCAGTGAATGGAAGTGAACATACTCTCATCTCATTCTACAACATAAACACTGTAAAGTTATTTGTAAAAGCTGACTTTTGATTTAAAAGATCATGATGTACTTTCAGAAAAAAAACTCTTACTAAGGCATAGGCTATAAAATGGTCAGATTGTTACAATGAAACAAAAGTAGAAATTTTAGGAAATCAACAAGCAGGTGTAATACATTTTATACAGTAAAAGCATTCCCCTTTCAAGAAAGAATAGAAAATTATTTCTTTTTAATATAAGACACATTGCTCGTAGAAATATACCTTTGTAACTATAATTTTACACTCTTGTCTATTAACTCCTTCCCAGTGGGAAAACTCAATGCAACTTTATAAAAAGTGTGGCAGAAAGGTGACGGGAGTTTCCTCCTTTTCCTGAAGGGTGCTAAGTAAAACAATGAAACAAAATAAAATTAAAAACAAAACAAAACCCAACACCCAATAGAGCAAGCAGTTGGATGGCAACTGCAGGAAAATTTTTTGTGAAGTCATATAACCTAGCTATAAGCAAGGCTTGACATTCTTAACCTAAAAAAGAAAGTTCCTTTTCTCTCTACAAAGTATATTAGAAATTTGGGACAACAGGAACCCAGATAGCCAAGGGTTAGTAAAATAATGCCATCTAATTACAACCATTCCTCTAGCCCTGGTGTACAAGTTGCCGTCCCGCGGTCACTTGTGGTTGCTGTGAGGCTGAACACTGTGACAAGGATGTGTCAATGCGTTAATGGTTGGCTAACCAATGTGGACTGAGAGTGGGGTGGAGCTCCCCGATTAAATAAGCGTGGAAGGAGGAGTGGCATCCACTTCCATAATAGCTTGCCTCCAGAAACCCTATGAACCTGGAGAGAGGATGAAAGGAACCCAAGTGTCGAGGACTCTCCTTCATAAGGTCGCTATGGGTCTCCTGCGACTCAACGGCACTTAACAACAACAATTACAACCATGTTGTTGTGCTGTTGAGCTGATTCTGACTCTTCATGACCATAAGTGATAGATAAGTGTCCCACAGAATTTCCTATACTCTAGACTTTATTTGAGCAGGATGTCCGTGTCTTCTCATATGGGGTGGCTGCTCAATTTGAACCATCCACCTTCAAGTTAGCAGCTCGCTTAACCTTTGTACCAACAACTATATTTAATTCTTACTTTAAACGGCAAAGCATTTTACATTTAAAAAACCCCCAATAACAACATTGTTGCTGTTAGGTGTTATTGAGTCAAGTATATCTCATAGTGACCCAAAAGATCTGAACCTGTTCTATCCTGTGCCATCCTCACACTTCATGATACACTAGGGCCCACTGCAGCTGTCACTGTGTCACTCCACCTGGCCAAAGGTCTTCCTCTCCTTTGCTGACCCTCCACCCTTCCCAATATCTTGTTCCTCTGCAAGGAACAGCCCCTTCTAGCAATATGTCTAAAGTATTTGAGGCAAAACCTCATCATGGTTGCCTTCTAAGTATTCTGGAGTTACCCTCTCCAAGACATATCTGTTTGTTCTCTTGGGATGTTCATCCTTGGGATGTTCAGTGCTCTTCTCCAACACCACAGTTCAAAGGAGTCAATTCTTCTTTCCTGTCATCCTTATTCACTATCCAGCTCTCAGATGCATAGTAAGTGATCAGAACGACTATGGCCTGAACATGTAGCATTATTGGTACAGTTCGTATCCATATGAACTATCTTTAAGATGGTTTCATTTTTTAAGAGCTCAGCTTCTAAAAA